CAGAGTGGCACCAGCATAGACCAAAGGAGTGCCTGCAGGGGCGGGGGACCAACTGGGTGTCACTCCCTTTTCTGGGGTGTCATCCACCTTCTGGGGTGTCACCCGGTGCGACCCGCACCCCCCAGAGGCACTACTGGGAGGAAGTAGACCAAGTGTATGAAAGCTTATCTACATCTTCTTCTGTTGTTGTTGTGTGCCTTCAAGTCGTTTCCAACTTATGGTAACCCTAAGGCAACCCTATCATGGGGCTTTCTTGGCAAGATTTGTTCAGAGGAGGTTTGCCATTGCCTTCCCCTGAGGCTGAGAGCATGTGACTTGCCCAAAGTCACCCAGTTGGTTTCATGGCAAAGCTGACAATCAAACCCTGGCCTCCAGAGTCCTTGTCCAACATTCAAACCACTGGCATGCAGGCTCTCACTACACAGTCTCAAAGGTGCTACAAGATCCTTTTGCATAGATAACATGTAGTATGACACCCCAGAAGGTGGGTGACTTGTTATGCATTGCTGTTGATCAATAGTATTTATGAAAGAGCTGATCTCAAAGTTTTAACCTCAGTTCATCTCTATCAGAACGAAGTTTTCCCCAATACATGAAATGTTATTTAAAGGAGACGTTATTTAAATTTATCCTCCTACCAAACTGGGATGGGTAATAATTGCATACAAAAATTAGGAATAAGTTTCCTTTCAGTAGTCTGCCCTTTTCTGTCTTAGTGAGCCCTCCACATTCGCTAGTGTTAGGGGCACAGGACACCTGTGAAAGTAGAAAAACCTTAAATAAAAAAACACAATGTTTTAACCTGAGAGAACACCTCTCTAGGAATCTCTAGGTTCTCCAGTGCAACTCTGAGGTCAACATCTGCCAGACATTGACCATAGAATCACGCTGGAGGATCTACAAATGCCTAGAGAAGTGTTTTCTCTAGTAATCTCCAAGTCCTCCAGCACAGCACAACTCTATGGCCAATTTCTAGCAGAGTTGCGCTGAAGGACCTAGAGATTCTTAGAGAAAACATACTCATCAAATCCACAAAAGTCAAAGCTGTAAATGTGGAGGGCTGACTGTACTCAAGTAACTTACCGGTACATTCAGCTGCCCAGATACCAGGTTTTATAAGCCATATAAATCACATACTGTTAGTAATGTTCTCAAAGTAAACATGGTTTGAATTAGAACCTCAGAGCACTAGTCAAAAATTCCTCTTTTGTTTCAGTAAATCAAGTTGTAGTGTTGACAATCTGTCGTATGGGTTGGCAGTGCTACCTTTTCTCTATTTTATTTATTCTAACCCTGCCTGACTTGAGTAGCTATGGTGACAAAACTTAAGTGACCAAGCATTGTTACTACACAAGCAAAGTCAGCCCAAGGCACGCTTGACATTTCTTATTTCTGGGCTGTGCTTGAAACGTGAAGGAACAATCCTGCCCATCAGACCTATTATCTGAAATACTTAAAACATTTCCTGAATCACTCAAGAGAATGCTTTCTTATACTTCTATCTACATACCAGGGTAAGAACTGAAAATTGAACCTTGTGGCAACAGCTGTTTTACAGAAAATAGTTCTATAATTAAGTAAGGGAAGCTGCAAGGAGAGTCCAAATTTACAGGATTATTAGCAATCTGTCAAGGTCAGTTTCAGGTAAAAAATAATCACTATCTGATGTCATTTATTAGGAAGTTTCTAGAATATATATATATTTAGGGGGAGGATACACATGCAAATGGATCAGAAAATAAAGTAATTAAAACACAGATACTTTGTTGATCATGTTTCTAGTAAATATAATCTATATTTAGGGGGAGGGTACACATGCAAATGGATCAGAAAACAAGGTAATTAAAGCAAAGATACTTTGTTGATCATGGGACATTTACTAAAAGTTTCTAGTAAATTTAATCTGTATTTAGGGGGAGGGTGCACATGCAAATGGATCAGAAAACAAGGTAATTAAAACACAGATACTTTGTTGATCATGGGAAATTTACTAAAAATTTCTAGTAAAAATAATCTGTATTTAGAGAGTGAATACACATGCAAATGGATCAGAAAAAAGGTAATTAAAACAGATACTTTGTTGATCATGAGAAATTTACTAGATGCTTCTAGTAAAAATAATCTGTATTTAAAGGGTGGATACACATGCAAATGGAACAGAAAACAAGGCAATTAAACTACTCATACTTTGTTGATCATGGGAGGCAGTGTGGTGTAGTGGTTTGAGTGTTGGGCTAAGACCCTGGAGACCAGGGTTTGAAACTCTACTCAGCCATTGGGTTACCTTGGGCATGTCACACCTACTCAGCCTTAGAGGAAGGCAATGGCAACTCTCCTCTGAATAAATCTCCTTTATTTCTTTGCCAAGGAAATCCTGTGATAGGGTTGCCATAAGCTGGAAATTACTTGGAGATACAACAACAAACTCTGTTGATCTCAGGGCTTGAGCATGCTCATATGAGAAAGGTAGTCATTTTTCTTTGTTGTTACTGCCCTTGAGTCAACCTCGACTTATGGCAATCCTGTGTATGAGACATCTCCAAGCCCCCATTGTCCATTGCTTTGCTTAGATCTTGTAGCTTCAGGACAGTGATCTCCTTGATTAAGTCCATCCATCTAGCATGTGGCCTTCCTCTCTTTCCGCTGCCTTCTGTCCTTCTTAGCATTATTTTATTTTCCAGTGATTCATGCCTTCTCATGAAGTGGCCAAAGTACAACAGCCACAATTTAATCATCTTGGCTTCCAGGGAGAGTTCAGGCTTCATCTGTTCAAGGACCCATTTG